TTTGTAAAGATTACTATGGTGTGGAGAATTGGGGCAGTACGGTGGCTCAGTGGTTAGCACTGCTGCCTCACAGCACCAGGGGCCCGGGTTCAATTCCACCCTTAGGTGACTGTCTGTGTGGAGTTTGCACATTCTCCCTGAGTCTCTGTGTGTTTTCTCCGGGTGCTCCAGTTTCCTCTCGCAGTTCAAAGATGTGCAGGTTAGGTGGACTGTCCATGCTAAATTGCCCATAGTGTCCAGGGATGTGCAAGCTAGGTGGGTTAGCCGTGGGAAACACAGGATTATAGGGGTAGACTAGGGTGGTTAGAATTGGAAGGATGCCCTTCAGAGGGTCAGTGTGAACTCGATGGGCCAAATGGCCTGCTTCCACACCGTAGGGATTCTTTGAATCCTGTGCTCTTCAACAGGGACACTCCACTGGTGCTCCTGTTCCCAACACATGCTCCTGCTCATTAGTTCCATGTGCCCCATTATGTGTTACATATTATCCCTCTATCTGGGCTGATGGAGAGTGCATATGGTTGGTGATGGGTTTTCAACAGAGGGACTGAGCCAAGAGGAGTCTTTGTCTGCATCACCCAGCCCTCCACAGTCCCTTTTAAATAGCTTAGTCGAAAAACACTGATCTGGGTTGTCATCGTGCTTGCCCACTGCAGAGAGTTCTGATCATTACAATTCAGCCTTCAGATTTTCTTAAGTACTACTTATGAAGGGGTGGCACGATGGCTCAGTGGTTAGCTGGCTGCCTCACGTTGCCAGGGACCTGGGTTCAATCCCAGCCTCGGGTGACTGTCTGTGTGGAGTTTACACATTCTCCCCAAGTCTGTGTGGGTTTCTTTCAGACGCTCTGTCTTTCTTCCACAGTGCAAAGATGTGCAGGTTAGGTGGGTTGGCCATGCTAAATTGCCTACAGTGACCAGAGATGCGTACGTTAGGTGGATTAGTCATGGGAATGCAAGGTTACAAGGATGGGGCAGAGGAGGTAGGTCTGGGTGCGATGCTGTTTGGAGGGTCAGTGTGGACTCAATGGGCTGAATGGCCTGCTTCCACACTGTCGGGATTCTATCATTCATGACAGAAACTCAACTGTGCCTTTTGAGCACCAGTAAATTACCTGAGCACTGCTAGATAACCCAAGTAAAATGAAGCAGACGATTTGGCGTTTACACCTAGTGTACTCACTTGCTAACATTTAGGCTTTGAGAACCTGACACAAGCTCTTTGATCTGCCTGCGGGTGAGGGGAATGTCATTCTCCTTCTTAAACAGTACTGTTTGCAGTTTGTGAATTAGATAAAGTTGTCTTGCAACACAGCTGACTGAAAAGTAACCATAAAATCCATGCCGAAACCTTGAATAGGTGATTGAAACCTGATAATGAAACTCAGATAACCTCTGACAATATCAATGTTGACATTTTGTGGCTGCAGTTTTGAGCTTGCCAGTGGAAATCAGCTAATCACAAAACACTTCAAAAACTAACAAACCTGCTGAAAAGCAGCTAACTTCATTGTTGACCTACCAAATAAAAATCTTTGACACACGTGCCCAATCTTCAAATGCTGTTCTGTTCTGCAATGAGTTTTTATCATTGCTCGTGTGTTTGATTAAGATTTTTTAAAAGAAGCTTAGTTAAACTAAGTCAACCCTTCTGCTGGCAGGAGTACATCAATCTCATTTGTGTGTTTAGAACTTTGTAAGATCACATTTCTGCGACAGTAACACATTCTTTTCTCTCTTCCAATCATCTTATTAAATGTCAATTGTACAGTACGACTTTGTTTAATTAAACGACAAGGTAATCCTCTGAAAGGTTCATTGCGTACTTTTAAGATGAGGTATGCCAACATGTATGGCTCGGAAACTGTCAGTTTGTAAAACAATGTAAAACAATCATGCATTTTCAAAAACAGAAGGCCATCCAACCAACTGCACCTGTAGAATGCATCAAAAATTCAACAGTGCCTCATTCTTCAAAGTTCATGCTTGATTATTGGACAATAAATTACCTTCAGAAAAGGTTAACTGCACATGTTGCTTTTCACTGTGCCTCAACACCCAGTCTTTTCACAAGGCATTTACTTGAGCATTACTTTTAACAGAAGTCACTTGTCCTGTAAAGCTTAAGGGAAAACCAATGGGACTTTTTTTTTGCAAAAAAGTGCCAGTTTCCAAGATGGGAAATGATGAGTATTTCACTGGGTACAAATACTGTCCTCTCGTTTATGCAGTAGGTTCTGAAGGTGTAAATTCCAACATCATAATTTTAGCTCAGCCATTATGAGAGAGCAGCAAACCAAAGTCCCTACAGTGCGGAAGCAGGCCATTAGGACTATCAAGTGCACACTGATCCCCTGAAGGGCATCCCACCCAAACCCACCCTATCCCTATCACCCTGTATTTTCCATGGCCGATCCACCTAGCCTGCACAACCCTGGACACTATTGGCCATGCTAAATTGCCCATCGACCTAACCCGCACATCTTTGGACTGTGGGAGAAAACTGGGGCACCGGGAGAAGGAAACCCATGCAGACACAGGAACAATGTGCAAACTGCACACAGACATTCACCCAAGGGTAAAATCCAAACTGGGTCCCTGGTGCTAACCAGTGAACCACAGTGCTTCCCCCACATGTAATAAAACAATGGACATTCTTTACCATATAAGGAGGATGTACTAGGAATTTTGAGGAACTTGAAGATACACAAGTCCCCCGGGCCTGATGGGATTTATCCAAGGATTCTATGGGAAGTGAGGGAAGAGATCGCAGGGCCTTTGGCAATGATCTTTTTGTCCTCACTGTCCACGGGTATAGTGCTGGAAGATTGGAGAGAGGCAAACGTCATTCCCTTGTTCAAAAAAGGGAACAGGGATAACCCCGGAAATTACAGGCCAGTTAGTCTTACATCAGTGGTGGGCAAATTATTGGAAAGGGCTCTGAGAGATAGGATTTATGATCACTTGGAAAGGCACAGTTTGATTCGTGATAGTCAGCATGGATTTGTGAGGGGTAGATCATGCCTCTCAAACCTTATTGAATTCTTTGAAGAGGTGACCAAACACGTGGATGAAGGTAGAGCAGTGGATGTGGTATACGTGGATTTAAGTAAGGCGTTTGATAAGGTTCCCCATGGTAGGCTCATGCAGAAAGTAAGGAGGTATGGGACAGGGGGAAATGTGGCAGATTGGATTCAGAATTGGCTGACCCTTAGAAGACAAAGGGTGGTAGTGGACAGAAAATATTCAACATGGTGCTCAGTTACGAGTGGTGTACTACCAGGATCTGTTCTGGGTCCTCTTCTATTTGTGATTTTTATAAATGATTTGGATGAAGGACTGGAAGGGTGAATTAGCAAGTTCGCGGACGATACGAAGGTGGGTCGCATTGTGGACAATGCGGAGGGCTGTTCTAGGTTACAAAGGGACATTGATAGGATGCAGAGCTGGGCTGAGAAGTGGCAGATGGAGTTTAACCCTGAAAAGTGTGAGGTGATTCATTTTGGAAGGACAAACTTGAAAGCAGAATACAGGGTTAACGGGAAGACTCTTGGCAGTGTGGAGGAGCAGAGGGATCTTGGGGTTCATGTCCACAGTTCCCTGAAAGCTGCCATCCAGGTGGATAGAGTTGTTAAGAAGGCGTATGGTGTGTTAGCTTTCATTAATAGAGGGATTGTGTTCAAGAGCCGTGAAGTTATGCTCCAGCTATACAAAACCCTGGTTCGGACACATCTGGAGTATTGTGTCCAGTTCTGGTCGCCTCATTACAGGAAAGATGTGGAAGCATTGGAAAAGGTGCAGAGGAGATTTACCAGGATGTTGCCTGGAATGGAGGGAAGGTCTTACGAGGAAAGGTTGAGAGAGCTAGGGCTTTTCTCTTTAGAATGACGAGGGATGAGAGGCGACTTGATAGAGGTGTACAAAATGATCAGAGGTATAGATAGAGTGGACAGCCAGAGACATTTTCCTAGGGTGGAGGTAGCTATTACGAGGGGGCATAATTTTACGTGAGTGGAGGTAAATATAGGGGAGATATCAGCGGTAGGTTCTTTACTCAGAGAGTGGTCAGGGCGTGGAATGCATTGCCGGAGAGGGTAGTGGAGTTGGCCTCATTAGGGGCATTTAAGCAGCAATTAGATAGGCATATGGATGATAGTATAAGGTAGGGGTGGAGGTTAGATAGACCTAGGTTTAGGGTAAAAGTTCGGCACAACATCATGGGCCGAAGGGCCTGTACTGTGCTGTACTGTTCTATGTTCTATAAACAGTGGACAGAGCATGATAGTGCTTTAAAAGTGCAATCAAAGCTATTATTTTGTCAGATCATTTTCTTGAGCCTTTATGGATTTATAACAATTTAAAACTGTGTCAGGAATGTCTCAAGCTGCTTTGCTGAATGTTAGAAGACACTTTCCAAGAGATTCTAGCTATTGTTCTTAATTATGGAAAATTGACAGGCATTAAAAATGCAGAATAATGAAATGTTAATGATGATTACAGTTCTTTTCACACTTCAGATTTTAGAAAAAGATTTAAAACAATTAAGTTGTTGGCTATGGCTCAGTTACCTTTTGTGTTAGTGTTGATACTTGCCATTTATATTCATAGCTCTCGACTCATCGAACCTTTTTGCCTGTTCCTCCTTTAGCCACTGAATAGAGGATCGATCATTGACAGGGCTTTATGTTGGGAAAATAAATAAGTTGATATTGAGCTCTCAGACAAAGAATGACAATGGTAGGTGGGGATGCACTATGCATACACTCTCGGGTTTGACCAGTATTGTTGCCCCGAAAGGACATCATTGAGCTGAAGATGGGGACATAAAAAAGGCAATTAAAGATAAAATATTGAAGGGACGATGGCATGTACAGAGGTTGGGAGAAGAGGTCTTTTGTTTTTAAGATTGGAAATGTCCAGAAGCTCTCTTACTGTCACATCCAGTCATGCCATCAAACAGTCCTTCCAGAAATGATGTTTGTGAAAAAGATCATGGCCTACCTGTTCTGGCTTTAGGCCAGGTGGAACCCATGCATACTCTTCCAAAACGCAACCAGAATCATCATCTGATGTTGAACTGCGCTGAAATCCAAAAGTCAGTTTGCTTGCTTTTTGCTCCACTTCTAAAGCCATGATGCCACTGAGGTGAGGTCAGCTGTGATTCAGCATACAATGAGTCTGTGAAGACATAAAGAGTGTGCAAGTTGTAGATTCAATCAGAAAAATACACAAAATTATTTGGATGCAAACAGAAATGATTCAACTGTTAGCAAATGGAGCAGTAGATGAATATATCATGATTTTTATGCGATAATAAATAAATGCATTTACTCTGGAGTTTAACACTAGTGAATCCAAGTATTAAAAATTACATTAAAAATAAACTCCTGCTTATCACAACACCCCTAGAATACTAAGTGTTAAATATCTTTTAGAAACCTTGGGGTAGTAGTCAGTCACATTGTGGAACTCCCTTTGCGATTCTTCTGCTTTGGATTTATTCCTATCTCTTGGACCAAAATTTGTCCATCTCTTGTCTATCATGGAATGGCTCGACATCTATTCCATTCTTCCTTTGTGATCAACCTTGGGAATTTTTTTAATATTAAGGATTGTATATAAAATGCAAGTCATTGTCATCAGCAAACCAAGATTAGTAGAGCATAAACTAATCAGAAATCTATATCAAGCCTATTGGTACTTCAGTATATTGAATCAGAGATAGTAGGAACTGCAGATGCTGGAGAATCCGAGACAACAAGGTGCAGAGCTGGATGAACACAGCAGGCCAAGCAGCATTATAGGAGCAGAAAGGCTGACGTTTCGGGGAAGGGTCTAGGCCCGAAACGTCAGCC